AATTGCAGACAAATTACATCTTTGTGTCACTAACAGCTGTTTACCTGTTTCAGCTTTTCCCAGTCACTGAAGTCTTTGCCCACCATCACTTCTTGCAGCTCCTTTGGCCTGAAGAGTTTCACCAAATCCCGCTCACACACCAGGAAGAAGCCTCTCTTGAACTCCTGAAACACATTCTCCACTGATGTGTTGAAGGCATGATTCACGTAGGCATCCACAAACTCCTTCCTGTTTGGCAGATAAAAGTAGTGATTTAAAGAAACACAATCACACTTTGGTCAAATCATGAACTGTTCTGTTCCTTTTTGTTTAAAGAGTGGTCGCTTTATATCTCTGCCATGGACATTTCCCATTAATTGCTTAAATTACTTGCCTATAAACAGGCAAACTGATGGTGGTGTATCGCAAGAATATGCACTGGACCTTGTTACCTTTTCTAACCTTAGCAGTAAAAATAAGGAAATTGGTTGGTTGATTATGTCCTTGTTGTAACTATGCTTCTTGGCAAATAAACTTAGACTATTGGAAAGCCTGATCATTCACCCTCAAATTGTGTCACATTTGCAAGGAAAATGCATTTGTGGGTTGAGCAGCAGAGTTGAGCATGTGACTTTCATCCATGACAAACTTTCCAGATCATCTCTGCTAATGCCAAACAGCTTATTCTGCTATTGGCTGGTGTTATTTGTTGGATTGATTGGATCATTTACTGGCATACACCCAACAAATCACACTGTTTCCACCAAAACCTAGTTTTATCCGCACTTTGACCCTGTGATCATACAGTAAAACTTTGTGGTGGTGTCTTCTTGGTTCACCTGTCTCTGATATCTCCTGTTTTGGCCTTCAAATTTGGAGGTGGTGCTAGAGCTCACTCCATCCATGTGCCTTGATTGGCACAATCAGGTGCCTAATAAGCATCTGATTGTCAGCACTGCAAGTACCAGAAGCCTAAAAATGAGAGTCAATAGCAGAATAGGCTGTTTGGCTTTGGCAGAGAAGATCTGGCATGTTTAAATGGGCGCCACGCACAAATGTGCACAAAAATGAACCCATTTTAGTGGAAAAAAACATGCCAATTCTTTCCAAGAAGAGCTGTTACAACAAAGAAATAATTTACTAAATATAAATATTCTTTTATGCGATGACTTTTTATTATGTCTAGCTTCTCTCTGGCTGGATAATTCATAGTTTGCTTTTCAAAAACATGATATAAAAAACCTTTAATTATCCTCACTTATTTTCACTTGTCACCAATTTTTCCGAATTTTCTGGATCAAGGTCGATATCTTTCCCATCCCAGTTTATCTGTTGAAAAAAAAAGATTTTACTGCTTTAAGAATTGCGAATCCCAAGACCATTTTGAAAACTGTTTTGATTTAAGTTGTGTGGAAAACGCCTACCGAAAAATACATGTCCAGGTTTTCCAAGTCATCATCTTGGTAGTCCTCCAGAATGTACTGCAGACTCCTGTAAACATAATATAGTTTAGGATCATTTGTATAACCAATCAGCACCTTTTCCTTATTTTCTGTCATACATGCCATCACAATGATGGATGCTCATATTGAACATGACCTAAGATTCAGACAATGGTGTCATTATATGTACAAGTAATCGCTGTTCCAGACTGTTTCTTTAAACTCTTGGCTCTGTATGATGTCAGTGAGACCAGGTATTCCAAATATTATCATCTCGGGCACACAGCTGTGGCTGAGGATGGAGACTCCACCCACCTATTCAATTCAATTCAATTTTATTTATATAGCGCCAAATCACAACAAACATCGCCTCAAGGCGCTTCATAGATACAGAGAAAAACCCAACAATCATATGACCCCCTATGAGCAAGCCCCCCAGAGCTTAATTCCAAATTACTTTTGGAATTAAGGAATTACAGCTTTAATGCTCCTTGGCACAACCCATGTTTTTTTTTTCCTTCTTTATGATAAGCTATGATCTGTACTGAACTATTGTTAGTTATATTGTATTATAATCAGTTAAAAGAATCAGAAAATTCTGAGTCTAATCTTATTTCCAATCAATAGGAAGGCTTACTTTTGAGGAGAACCATGCCAGTGTTTCAGAGTCATTGAACATGAACATCCCAGATTCAGCTGAGATCAAGTCATGAAAGACTTCATAAAAAAAGTCTTTCTTGTAGACCTCATCGTTCACACGATTTCCATCAAAGAAAACCTACAAGACACAGGGGCAAAAAAAGTTTAGATCAAAACTGCACGAATGCACAAGTTTTTAATATAATTTGTGTTTACAGTACAATACAATTTTATTTATATAGCACGTTTAAAACCAGGGGGTACACCGAAGTGGTTCACAGTAAGGAATAACAGTAAGTTATTAAAACAAGGTAAAATAGAGAAAATAGAGAAACAAGCAAAAACATTAGTAAGTAGAGATAGGGAGAAATCATGATTATCCAGAGAAATGAGCAGCGATACAGCAATTAATGAGTGGTGAGAATTAGCGAGTCAGAAAAGCTAGGTTGAATAGGTCAGTTTCCAAGCGTCTCTAAAGGATTGAATGGATTCAGAGGCACGAATGGTAGAAGGAAGACTATTCCAGAGGTTTGGTGCTACAGAGGCAAAAGCACGATCAGCCCTAGTCTTCAGACGGTGCCTGGGCTGGGCCAGATGATCGTAAAGAACGGCTGGGAGTACAGAGACTGAGGAGGTCGGTGAGATAGTCAGGGGCAAGGTTGTTTAGGCATTTGAAAGTAAGCAGCAGAACTCTAAAATACTTTACCACGAGTGGCCTCTTGTAGTCTCTGTGATTCGTATCAGCCATTTTTTTCATGGTGTCCTCCAAAACTGATGCTCGCCTCAGCTTCACTACAAAGAGAAAGTCTTCCAAAACTGAGGGATTGCGACCGAATGTCCTCCAAAAATTCAGACAGGCTTTCATCGCCTCTGTAAACTGAAATAAAGTGAATGATGTCACTTTTACTCTTTCTCAAAGAGAGAAAAATAATCTATGTCACATGTTTTTGGAAGGTTTTTTTTTA